TCGGACCTGAGGATGCTTTGCATATTGTAGAAAGAGAAACCGGTCGTCTGATAGTTAAATTAAATTGATTGTGAGTAAGTCTTATTTATTATTTCTTTACCTATTTGAAATGGACTCACACAAGCAACACATTCATGATTTTTATAATTTTTCTTTCTAAAACTTTGTTTGCTTTATTTTTATATACTTTATTTTTTGTTCTAGTGGGTATTTCATCTCGTTCAGAACCCAATATGGACCTGTTCCATATATAAGCTTTCTCAATTAAAGGTCATTATTTGGTAACAATATAAGTCGGACTCACAAGGAAAGTGATATTTCTTTATTTGAGTTTATTTTTGCTCAGTTGTATATCAATAAAATATATTCGTGTTTTTGTATCTTACTTTGCATTCCAATTTACCTGATTTTATTCGGGATTTTGTTATTCGACACACAATAAAGGAACACGCCCAGTGTTTAAGAAGGATTTTTGTAATTCGTTATGCATTCGTATGAACGTGACTTTATTCAACATTGTTTTGCTTGATTTCAATAACAGTGTGTTTATTTTTTTGTTATCTTATTTTTTTATTAATAACATTTTCAATTGTCATTGGATGTTTCCATTATTAAAAGTTCTATTTTAAATTCCCGTCTTTATTCGCTTCCCGTAATAATTATTTTTCTCTCGTTTGAACAATAAACTAAAATATGTCTCCTGAAACCGGTCGCTCTATCGGTATCGTCTGAAAACGTCATCGAAGAAGTTTTCTACGCACTTGTACCTCGACAATTTTATAGCAACGCATATAAAACAACTTTTCAAATGGCGACTTGGTCATATTTATTATTCTTCAAAACCCTTCTGTAGAGGGCGACTGCCTAAATTCCAACTCAAGCCGTGGCCGTCGGCTTAAAATGATATCATGAAAGATAGAGTTGTGGGGAGCTGGGAAAGCGGTACGAACGCCATTATTTAACTTGCATCCACGCTTCGCGGCCCCTGACTATCTTAAAGGATACCTTTCAAAGTTAATAATAAGTATTGAAATGAGCAGCCTTCAAAGCTTTATACGAGACCTCGTCAATCTCATAGACTAGGGTATGCGCATCGAGCAATAAGACAAAAGAGGGAATGTAAAGGTAGTGGGGGCAAACATATTGATAGACAGGAAGTGCTATTTTGAGAGGCCACTTTAAAGAAGGAAAGATAATCTCTTTCCTTGTTTAAGAAATCAAATTTAGTTGGGTTATGTTATTGTTGATGTTATTGTTTGTCAAAACTGTCACATGAAAGCTTATTTATATTTTCTATTGAAGTTTTTTAACAATTGTTTAACATTTTAGACTATTATCGTTATTAATTAATTAAAACTTTATTGTGTTCTAGTGTTAAAAAAAGTATTTTAAGTGTATTATGTATTAATATTATGTAATATAAAATAAATAAATAGATAAATTAGAACCCCTACACCACTGTATGATTATTGTAAAGTTTCATGAAATTTAAATTTGGCGCATTTGCATTTCCGGATATGTCCGCCATCAGATGCCACTTTTTTGGTCTCCTTTTCATAACGATTAGATTCCCTCTTTTGTCTTATTGCTTGATGGGTATGCTTGTCCTCCCTTATCTTTCAATTTTTCAGCAATTAGTATTCTGTATTAAGGTCTTGATTTTGCCTTTTTAAACGGGTCCTGATGGTTTCTTCATCAGCCTCTTTCTCTGGGTCGTGGAAGAGAACTATTGGGCGCTTCGGCATATTATTTGGATCAACTATATTTAAGTTTGCTCCCTCCCACAGGCTTCGTAGTCCTCACATCATTTTGTTGTATACTTACTCGTTAGCAAATCACTAACAGGGTCCCTTACCCGCTGAACGATGTTTTATGGAAGAAGTTCATTCCGACCCTTTATAGCAGCCTCGTTAACTGCTTGTTCCAGTTTTTTTATGATCACAGATCTGCTTGAGCCCGATCAAGTTAAGTATCAGAACGGTGTCTGTGTAAAAATTATTCATTCCGAATACTTTTGTCACGTTGCTTTATGACCTGGTCTGCCTGTTAGAGCCTCTTGGTTTCTTACCAACTCTCGCGAAGGAGGTGATGGTATTATCCCGAAGTCTCTTTTTATCCTTGGGAGTTGCCTATCCTTGGGATTGACTAAGGGTCTATGATCCAGCAGTCATTTTTGTCTTTTCCTCATCTATCTTTGTTGCGCTCCAGAGAGGCGTTTTTTGAGGCTTATTTATATTATACTTGATAATTTATAATTTTCAAATTGTAAAAAATAATTCTCTGGTGTGTCTGTTAAAAAGCAATTCTAGCGTAATAACGAGATCAGGAATTAGTGTTTGATAGAAACACCTTTTCTCTCAGAATTTTTTGGGGCTCTCTTTCCAGTGATTGACTTTTATTTATATTTTATGTTTATATGTAGATTTTTACACATTTAAATTAAACATTTTAGTGACAATATTTTTTCTAAAAAATTCACTTAATAAAAATAATATTTTATTTTTTTATTAAATATGGTGTAGAATTTGATCTCTAATTTTATAAAATGCAAAAATTTAATGCTAAGCATTCAATGCACACGACCACGTGGCATCTACATAATAAAATATCTAAATTTGCTCCCCTCTTTCATATTTAAAGCAGTAATAGCAGTCCCTAGTGGTACAATAAGGAACTAAAATCTTCTTTAACTGCAGCCGAGACTAAAATATGACAGTGAAATGTCCTTCTATAGAATTTTTCATATAAAAATGATTGCATGTCATTCAAGATTTACGACCTCTGAACCCCGCAGCGTTGCCAAACATCGGAATAGTTAGTAAGTGAGGAATTTTTAAAATGTCAACTATTTGTCAAACTATAATATTAACAGTAAATACACTTAGTTTTAAGATCACAGCAACACACTAAAATACATAAGAAAACATTTTGATACAAAATTATATATTCTAAATTTTAAACTTACCTCTTTTAGGGCTTTAATAGTAAAAAACGTCCCGCCATTATTTCTTGTTTAAAAGAATCTATTTTATATGAAAGCTTATCAGCTTTCTACAGACTATTTAGTTGTTTTGGCATAGCACAACCACAATACACAACAATCATTAGTTTTTAAAGATATTAATCTAAATTTAATATGTAGTTCCAAATACAATTTATTAATAATATAATGTATTATGATCAAATTGAGTAAGAAATCAAAACATAACCAAAATTCTTACTCTAAAAAAGCGGCAACATTTTAAACAATTTTGTCACACGTTGAACTGTCATTCAAATTTGAAGTATTCCCGTATCAGTTGCGTAGGTACAATTGTCTAATTTATTTAATTAAAATTATTATTTTGTGGAATATTAGACTTAAAGGGTTATATCATAAAATTTATATTATAAATAATAATACAACTATAAATTTTACCGTCACCTCCAAAATTTTAGACTATTCAGCATCCCTTTCAAACAAACCCCTCAGTTCTCATTTTACTCTTCCACACAACTCCCTTAGGGTTTGGTTGCGGTTCTCTGGGGATCTCAGCCTTTTGTAGTCTTTCCGTATCTCACTATTTTCTCAAAAAACACCATAATTTTCTTCTTTTTTACTTAATTTTAACATAGCCATCAACAACCATTTCATTTTTAAAATTAAGGTCAGTATACACCTTCAACTCATTCAAATTATAACTTATCCTTTTATATTTCTCATGTACCTAGTGTTGCTTTATGACAGATAGGGCCTTTTTTAAGTTATAAGTTGAGTACTATACGATCAACATACTACAAAACCCTGTCCCAACCATCACATTTGATTCATTTCATATAATAGTTCAACGAACACCTCATATCCCTCATATCCATTAAGAATAAAATTAAATCCCACAATTTAATCACCAGTAAAGATAACACCATAATTTTTTCGTGTTACTTAATTTTAACAGAGCCAACCATAACCATTCCATTATCACAATTAAGGTCAATATACACCTGCAACTCATTCAACTTATCACTTATCCTTTTATATTTCTCATGTACCTAGTGTTGCTTTATGACAGATAGGGCATTTCTTAAGTTATAAGTAGATTACTATACTATCAACATACTACAAAACCATGTCCCAACCATCAAATTTTGTTCATTTCATATAATAGTTAATACACGAAAACTTCCACACCACTTAGTCCGTTAACACCTAATCAGATATTTATGTTCATGAACTTATAACTCAAAAAGTTTTATATTTACCAGGTACCAAATGTTGTTTTTTGATATACAGGGTCTTCTATAATTGAGTTATAAGTTAAATATTACATGAACATTATACTACAAAAGTTTTATTTTTATTAATTCAAGAACACTTTCATATTTTAAATACATTCATTCATATCCCACCAATAACAATAAAATGTAACTGCAAACATGTATAGTTGGTTGCCTAACTATAATCACATATTTTTCTTTCCCATCTCATCTTATATACATAATTTTAAAACAACAACATTGGTGGTTGATACTGTTATATTAATTTACTTTATTGTAACAATTTTAAATAACTTTGGCTTTTGTCTTAAGTAAACACATACAGTTATATTGACTGCTCTGTTACGACGTCCGTCCTAACTTGTCAACATTCATTCCAATCAGTTGCTTCCACAGTCCTCGTAGACACACTGTCTCAGGACTAGTAACTTCAACGTGGAGTCATATGTCGCCATGTTACCTAATCCAACGGTAACTTTAACGTTTTTTTTTATAATTTTCTAAAATAAGAACCGAAATATCATTATTCCATAAATAGTTCCACAGTGTATAAGTTGCTTATTTTATTACAATTCTATTATATACGTGTAGGAATCAATGATTTATTTGTGTCTACCTCCTTTGTTAAATACTGTGGACTCACATATAAGGAACATTAAACATAAATTTGGAAAATATCGACTAAAAGAATATTATTACTCCATTCACTAAAAAAGTTTTGAAAAAATATAATAAAATAATTTTATTAAAATATATAATATAATATATACACATTATCTGAGTCTGGTAAAAATCAGTATAAAAAATATAAAATTGCATATAAAATTATTAGCAACTAACATATTACCAACAAACTTGTTTGTCAGAAATTAAAAGTTTTAGAGTTTTTTCTGTAATCGCCTTAAGAGCATGTGTAGGAACAGTCGAATTATATAAGACACACAAAACATTACTCCCGATTTTAAGAGCATGGCATTTGTGATATTCTGAACACCAATAGGTTTCTATACCAATATTTTCATTCGGCTCTGAACTAAATGATTCATCAGATGAATTTGAATTATTGAGTTTGTCGTAAGAATCTTTACAATTAATTAAATTATTTAAGACAGCTCTGTAGAAGAATGTTCGTAGTATATCCAAGCGTTGAGTACTAGTTGCGGTTTTCTTTGATAATTGCTGCGGACTCTTTGATATCATATATTTCTTAGTGGATGTGTTTACTAGAAGTTGTCTGTAAGAAAACAATATAATAAATTACTATTTCACCTAAAGTAATGAGTAGAATAAAAAATAATAACAGATTGTTGACTGGACAAAAACTGAAGATTTCTAACGTAACCCTAATTAGAAAACCTCGTAACTCCATTTTTACTCAAGCAAGCAATTTAAGTAAACCCAGCCTGTGAGACATATTCACCCGTACTAATTACGTTCCACCGCGCTCCAATGCCCCAGACCATCCCTTTCCCCGTTATAGCACTCTGATGCGAGATAGAGGCACAACTATCAGCTTTTCGTGTGGAAGTCCTGGGTACAAGAACTCCAACACGATCAATGCAGGCTAGCGTGACGCGCTCTTTTCCTGATTTCTCTAGTGACGTATCATCGACAGTTCGGCGACTTTTTGTCCGAGGATGTGGGCCCTTCGTGCTCAGGTTTTGGGGTTTTGATAATTTTTTTGGATGGTTGTCGCCTTTTTGTTAGTATTTTTTTTATTTTTTTGGAGGTCAAAGCCTTTATTTATTTATTATTTTTATTTGTTTTTTGAAAGTTGTCCGGAAAATAAACATCAATTATTAAATTTCCAGTGCTGCGTGCTAGGGCTTCTTCTGTTGGTAGAGCGAATTATCTAGACTTAATGTGTTTGCCACGATTTACTGTTCTGGTCTCTTGTGCTTCCATCGATGGAACGTATCATATCTTATTATCTCTCTCAGAATCGGGCTTGGATGATTATCTAATTCTGCAAACCTAATTCTGGCTTTTTCTGCCGTTTTATCTCTTAGCCTTACTTGTTGCAGTTCTCTAAACAGAAAGCATTCAGCGACGTATCTGGGTACATTTGCCGCTTCTCTGACTATGTTATTGTGGGCTGCTTGTATTTTCTTTTTATTTAAATTGCTTATATGTCCCCATGCGAGAGATGTATATGTGATTATCAAAAGTATGATGCTGTTTATCAATCTCATTTTCGTCTTTATACACATTTTGCTTTTTCTACCTATACGTCCTCTTATTGCTGTTCTGGCTGTTGTTGTTTTTTGGATGGTTGTCTCCATGTGTTGCGTGAAAGTTAAGCGTTGGTCCATAGTGACTCCTAGGTATTTCGCTTGTCTTTTCCATTCGATGGGATCACTTTGCACCAAAAGCTTTTCCTCTGGGGTTTCTCTTTTCTTTTTGAATATGATTGCTTGTGTCTCTTCTGAATTGATTGATGTTTTCCATTGGTTACACAATTCTTCAATCTTATCCGTCTGTAGCAAGACTGAGTAGTGTTCCTGGTGTTCTTAGAACATCTGCGGTGTTTATTACGTACAGTAGGGCGACAGAACTACTCCCTATGGCACTCCAGCCTCCGAAACCTCATGATCGGATAGTACTTGTCCTATTTGTACCCTAGCGAATCACACTGGCTCTGTTTTTTTCCCTTATCATGTCTTTGATTTCCTGGTTTATGTCTCTAAACCTTCCCATGTGTATGTCTATTTCTTCTTCAGTAGTGCTATTTCTGAGTGCTTCTTGTACGATGTTTTCGAAGTCTAGGACTCTTTCTTCTATTTCTTGTAGATTGTTTATCACTGGGACGTTGTTGATTTCAATACTCACAAGTCTTTTGTAATTTGTCCACTTTGTTTTCTTTCTTTTTCTTCTTGTGTTTTCTTCCCATGTTTCTATTTCTAGTAGCATGGGTCGTGGTCTTGTGATCCTTCGTTTAATGATCTGATTTCGGTCTGTAGTCCAATATTTTTAACTACTACTATGTCTAGATGGCTGGGTTGAGTATTTCCTGGGAAATGTGTGGGTTCGATGGTACCTATTAACATTGTGTCTTCATTGTTTGCTAGATAGTTGTCCAGTAATCTTCCGTTTCTATTCGTAGCTCTATCGTTCCAGTTTGGGGATCTCGCATTTAGGTCTTCTACTATTATGGACGGCTCTTCTATATTCAGGAACGCGTTCAGGCCGTCGTCTATAATAGGATCTCGTGGCCTTACGCATGTAGAGGTGATTCTGATATCTTCTTGCCTCATTAGTACTTTCATTGTAGTTGCTTCCATAGTGCTTAGTTGTGGTGTTAGTATTCTGATACGCGAAAATCCCAAAGATGCTTTAGTCTTGTTATAAATTAATTAATTTATACTCACGTCGTCAGAGACGAAAATGCCACTGAACTTCTAAAAATCATAATAAGCTGAATTTTGCGGCAAAATGCAAAAATTTAATAAGAAAGCTGCACTTTTTACCTTAAAATGCTTTTTGATTGTTGTCGATAGGACACTGGTCAAAAGATATCGAATTTTTACCGTCGAATTGATACAAATTTTATTTAAAATTTATTTCACGCGCGTAGCTGACATTCAAAATCGCCGGTCGCTTCAAGCGTTGTTTCTGAGAAAACGGTTCATTATAAAGAAAAAATGCTAATAAACATTTTTATTAAGATTATCTCAGCCACAATTTTTATTTGAAACATTTTTTTCTGCGGCCGACAGATTCTTGGTGTTCCCCCCTACAAGGAAGGGTGGTTTTACGGGAACACAGGGAGTAGGAGTAGTATAATTTTTTCAATATTTTTTGAGGTCCCAAAAATAACATTAACATATGATTTATAGATTTTCAGTGACATTTTTGTCTTTGACGACTGGAGTATAAATAAATTTATTTATAACACAACCAAAACATCTGTGAGATTTATTAATGCGTTTTTAGACGTCTTTGTTCTAGTCAAGCCGAGAAAATACATTTTTTACGTATACCGATGTTGAGGTTAGAAATTCCATTTTCTTCAACTTTTGTACTTCATTAAAGAGGTCAACTGTTTCGAAAAACATACCTGTCTAATCAAAAAGAAGCATTTTTAAATGTTTTAGATCGTTTGTAATGTGAAAGTTTTAACTCAGCGATTTTTAGGCATATTTCAAATGCCTCTTACTTACCCTAATTATTTAACAGCCACACCTAGTTAATCTTAAATAAGCAAAAATTTGGCATAGAAAATGTGTTTTAAAGAAATATATTTTTAATAGGTTTACTATAAAACTTACCCTAATATGTTTGTGTCGATGATATAAGATGATGGAAAGTTCCTAGGAACACACTGGGCAGCAGAATTTAAAATATCAGTTGAATTTCTGAAACACTGTGTCGCTGAAAGTTCTATTTCATTTAGAGGTGGATTTGGACCACATAGGCAGCAAATTTGTACTTCCGGTATTAAGGTGCAAACAACGAAACGAAAGGCTACCTGAAATGTTTTTCCATATTTTAATAAAATCGTTTGAAAATATACGTACTACTACTTAATTCTAATAATCGGTTTATGAACAGGTTTATGAAAAGGTGTAGCTTTGATGCGAGAGCCCTAGGTTTACAAGGAAGGAGGCTTTGAGAGGCATTCTCTAAAAAATAGTAAATATCTAAATCTGATGAGCGAAGTAAAGTATCTTGGCGTAATATTAGACTCAAGGCTTATTTGGAATGAGCAGATAGAAAGAACAACCAAGAAGGCGGTACCTATGTTAATAACAGCCAGACGCACTCAGTATATATGCATCATTGGTATGGTAGCCAAAGTGCTATCCTCAAACTAAGTAAGGTGCAAAGATTCCATGCCTTCAAATCACAGAGGCTATAAGAGGTACACCAACAGCAGCTATGGAGGCTCTTCTGGATCTTCCTCCTTTGCACCTAGCTATACAGGGGAGGCCAGAATTGGATATAATAGATTGCGAGAAAACGTAAGCAACGTAACATATAAATCAGGACATAGCAACTTTATACATGAAATCAGGGATACCTGATTTCTAACTGTATAATACCCAGATACAGGCTTAAAGTACCTTTCCAAGTGGAAATTTGCTCACGAGAGGGATGTGACAGAGAAAGTACTCGACCCAGACTGCAGGGATATACCTGGTATACAGACGGGTTTAAAACTGCAGAAGGGTTGGGTGGAGGAATATTCAGTAGTGGTGGAAATTTAAACATTTCTATTCTACTAGAACAATATACCTACCTCTGTATTTCGAACTGGAGCGGAACAATATATATGCACAGATAGCGAAGCAGTCAGGGGGGCTCTTATAAACAATAAGGTGGCCTCTAAGCTAACGAGGGAATGTCGAAAAGAACTAGACAGACTGGTGGAACATAACAGTGTTACACTGGTATGTTCTACTGTTCTAGGTCACCGAAGAATACAGAGAAATGAAAGAAATTATGAACTTACTGGAAGAGTTTCGGCTACAGAATACTTCGGTCTAGAGCCGGCTATGGGAGTGCCAAAAGCATCCGAAACAAACATGGATCCGAAGACAATATAACTCTCACTGGAAAAATATACCCGGTCAAGCACATGACAATATATATATATTGAATGGACATGTGCGAATACAGCTTAAGTGCTAAGGAAAATAAGCAGGAATCAGATCAGTGTGAAGGGACGCCTAAATGCAGTGTGACTGAGGACCTGAAAAAGTCCACCATATCTTGCAAAACTGCGAGTCATTGGATCGTAGTCGGAAAACACCTTTCGGAGACCATCAAGTGACTCTAAAAACGGTACCCATCCTCTAGACCTGTACAAGCTGGTAAAGGACTCCAGAAACCTGGAATTAGTATTAGAAGATAGTAAAAGTATTTGAGCACAAAATATATGCAACCCCAAGATTTTACTCTAACGATTGTATAGTTCGTTTTTAGTTATATAGTGTATACTGTATCTTTCATTGTGAATATTTGTTTGATTGTCGATCTATTTTCATTGAGTCATCCTTTGTATTCACTTATTATTTCGTTTTCGTATGTCTAAAGTCTGTTTCTTAATTTTAGAGCCAATAGTCTGTAGGTCATATATAGTATGTAAATCTTTCAACTGGACTTAGGTAATTGGCACTGGAACTTAAGGTAAGTGTGGCAACTGCGGTTTCTCGAGTCTATGCCAATATCCAACCAAACTAAGCGATAGCCTACAATGAAATTGATAACTCGATAATCGGTACCTTTTATAATCTATTAGCTGTACGCATTTATTTTCAATTGGAACTGTGAAACAAAGAGTGTTGTTTTCAAATGTTTATTTATACTTCTCCAGAAAAGATTCAAATAATTAAATGGTATTATAAATGAAATTCTTTGTCAGACTGTGTAAATCTATTTGTTAATACTTTCGAAAATAGACCAATACCTTGTAGACAAACAATTGCAAATATTGTAAATTGTACAAAATGTTACAAAAGAAAAGAGATGTCCCCGAAAAGACAGCAAGAAATCGAAAGGAGAGATGAAAGTATTTGTGCTATCATTGAGGTGGATAAATACCAGAACCAATAGAAGTGTCGCCGAGGAGTGGGAGGTCTCGCATAACATAGTTAATAGGGTTTTAAAAAAATATGGCTTTAACAGTTTCAAGTATTCAAAAACTATTTCCCTAAGATCATTTTCGTAGAATGGAGTTTTGTGAAGCTGCAATGAATGCCCATGTTTGGTCCACCATTTTTCATTGAGGGAGTTTTGAATTCAGCTAAATATTTTGCTCTTTTAAAAGATAACATTATTCCACCTATTCAGAATATCCCAGATGTATGTTTAAGGTGTCTGATATCAACAGGATGGCTATTCAGTTCATAATGCGCGTATTGTGCATTGTGCATGGGATTTGGATCCCATGAATTTCTATCTGGCACATGGTCTAGTTGATTTAGAAAATAAAATAAGAAATTTATGTGTTACGATTATGCCAGAACAGCTTGCAAATGTAGGACAAATATTATATAATCATCATCACCTGTAGCGCTACAACCCTGGGTGGGTCTTGGCTAACTGTACAACTTTTTTCCAATTTGTTCGGTCTTCCATCAACTTAGGGTCAAATGGAATGTTCATTTTCCGGAGATCTGATTGGATGTTATCTCTCCATTGCATTCTGGGATGTTCGAGTGGTCTTTTGCCTGTGGGAATCTCCCATACCAGTTTTACAAGTCTCTCGTTATGTAGTCTGTCCACGTGGCCTGCCCATCTTAGTCGCTGTGATTTAATTTCTTGGACAATATCGGCGTCATTGTAGAATGCTTTTAATTCGATATTGGTTCTGATCTTATACTGGTTTGTAATGATGTCATCGTGAGGACCGAAGAAACATTTTATAATAGACTTTATAATAGAATAGTCTTGCAAAAGAAGGTGGTATATTTGAACCATTTACTTAGTTTACTTGTTATTTGTTTTTCAATTTTTTTAAATAAATTGTTTATTTGTGTTTAACTACTTTTAGGACAATACTTTTTCGAGAGGCATAGCCCACAATAAAATTCAAAGGTTTTTAACTGCATTGCAATAACTTAATAATAATACAATCGTCAATAAATACGTAAATAATAAATTATTTATGTAGTAGAATTAACTCCCTCGATGCACACCTAATAGAGTCTTAATTAATACTAAAAGTTAAAACGTCTGCGGCCCTGATGACAGTAGTTGGCTCGACAAAGCTCAGTTGCCACACTTATTTTAATGTTTTACCTATGTCAGCCCCGTGTATGTCCCAAGCATGTGTGTATTATACTTTAAGGATTTCATAAAGATTATGAAAATATATAAAACTTATGAATAAACATCATTACTCTTGAGCCGCTATTATTTCCCACAATCCGATGGAGGAAATGTGAGAACAGATAAACAATAATCATTGCATAAAATATCAGACTTACTGTAGGACTCTTATGAGGCAAAAACACAGGTATATCCTTGGAATCGGTTGCATTGTCTGATACTGCAAATAAAGATAAAAGTCTCAATTCATCTGGATGCAAAGACCACCAACTCTCAGTTGCAGCTACTATTTTTCCATCAACTAATATGCAACTAAACATCGAGTCAACACATTCAGTAAACGAATCTAGAACAATCTAAACAAAAAAATTAATGCAACTAACGATAAAGATTTTAAAGTTGTCTAATTGATTAAATGTTAGCATTCCATGTATACTATAAAATACTGTATCTGTAGTCTACATATGATTATTTATCTGTAAAAATAATTGGATATAAAATCTGAAAATTTTTATTTAGCGGAACTGCACCTAATATATATATATTTAAAATATTTACTCCGCTGTCACTGGAAATAGTCATCGAATTGATCATCAACTTTTTTTGAATACTATGCAAATTTTGTATTTTTAAATACTACAAAGAATTTGTATATCAAAAATTTATATTTTTTAGTTATTCACCTTATTTTTAATAAAAACTTCAGTCTTATTTATAAATATACTTTCTTGAACATTTGTATACAAATAAAGTTTATACTGAAGGTTTTTTAGGAATTGACATTGAAATCCATTTTCTACAGAGGGTGTTTACAAAAAGTAAGCCGTTTTTAAATCTTAATCCACAGTAAGTTAAATGAAATGTATTTTTTTCAAAATAAGAAATGAGTTATCTTTGTGAATATATTGTATCTACCCTTTGTGAATGAGTGATATGATGCACATAAATGCAGAGTGTAGCAAGGACACCTGTCGTGGAACAAAAACTGTCACCTGGCAGTAAGCATAAAGACACCCGTGAAAATGGTAATAATTTGTTTAGGGTCGCTGTCTGGTGATGGCCAGGACAAGTCTGGAATCTGCGCTGGACGTGATAGCATGCGGTTCGACAGTAAGACCAACAAGAACCGCAAGCGAGACAAAAAACAAGAACTCCATTCGTTGTAGGCACTGTGCTGGAACATCAACCAGCGCTCAACCACACCGGACGACTGAGGCAGAATGCACTGTGGCCACGAATGAAAATACTGTGCGCTTCTATTACAAAGTAACAAACTGGCCAAGAAACGATCTGTTAGCGACAACAATTGTATGCCGAATTTTGCAGAAACTACTCAGAGATTCTAGGATCCGAACATCGAGTAGCAGATCAATATCGGGTAATTATAAGAAGCAATATTATCCCAGTAGTTAAGCAAAATGACATCTGCCATAAAAGAGTTCAATGGAACTAACCCACTTAGCAAACCACCACCCTCAAAAATTAACGCTGCTAAGAAACATGATGCGCTGTTACAAATTGTGAACACTGATATCCTTCATAAGTATGTCCTATAAACGTAAGCGTTTGAATTAAAATATTTGCATATGCTGATTGATTGATAATAACATGATGGGGACTATTATCGAAAAGACTGTTAACAGAATTTCACCGTCGGAAAAATGATTGCTAAGAATAATTAAATTATTGAGTAGTGATTGGTGAAACACTGTGCTCTAAACAATATCATATACTCTCAACAGAAAGGATACACCAAGGGCTCCATGTACTGCAAAGAACAAGTTATCAATCATTTCTAAGCCGGCATAATTAAAAAAAGAACCTTTCTACTGCCTCTATTGACTACAAGAAAGCCTTTGACTCAGTTGCGTGCATCCAGTTTGCAACTGGATGCAAGCCGCACAAGAGAGAGACAGATGGAAAGGCTGAGACCTATGTCAAGCAGTAAACGCTTAAGGTTGATTATGATGAAATACTATCAATAGTTTCTAGATAAGGTTAGTTTCTAAATCAGGTGATTTTGAAACTATCGATAGTTTTAAAATCAGTAAACTTTCTAAATTAAATGATTTTACTACTATCTTAGTACTCTACTAGAAAAAAATAAGAAGGGAAATCATTATACTCATTTTGCTTAAATTAAAAAACAACATATTTAGAACAAATCTGAATACATAAAACAATTACCTGTATTAAGTGATTCTCTGTGCACAAAATTGTTTCTGTAAATCCCACAATATCAGAGGAATGTTTGTTACTAGCGTCTCCACAATCTAATGAATCCAAAAGCCGATCTATTACTGGAAAGCAAATTCTAAGTTCCCTTTTCAATCTTTCAATATTTCTTTGCATTTTCAATTCTTTAATGCCAACTATTAATACTATTGTATTAAAAACATCTTCCAATAGTCTGTTTAAAATATCTATTGAACATCCACTTGCTGCTCCAATTATAATTATGCTACAAAAACATTGTTCTATATTAAGTATTTTGACAGAGTTATTATACACAGTGTACACCTAAAAATTTGTACCCCCCTAAATCTTAACAAAATAAATGTTTTGACAAAAATCTGAAGTTGTTTTTTATACTGCATGGGACCAATTTTTATACAAAAATAATTCTTCAACTTTTAACCCTACATCACAGGTTGTAACAACCTTCAAATTTTTAAATGGAAATATGGGTCATATGACCCATAATGTGGAAAGGATTTTTATTACTTAAACAACCAAATTTTAATCATATTTTAAAGTTTCAAAGATATCAATGGTTAAACATTGAAATCTCATAAGTCAAAATTTACAACTTTTCAGAAGTGCGAAAAAATGTAAATGCTTATTAAATATTTTTTCTTTCTTAATATTTATTTAATTATTACCTTTAAAAAACATGCCAAAACATAGTTTTCATGAATCTTGGGTTTTGCCAGAACATTTGGATCAATATTTTCAATCCAAATCCTCATAAATCTAAAAACGAACAAATTTCTACTTATAAGATTTCTGCATTTAACCCTTGATGTGTTTTTATTGTGAGGTTGGGTTAATTACTTCTATTTTATAATAGGAATATTCAACAAATAAATACATGACTAATATATTTTGCATTTTTGACTGTTTTTTACTAGAGTGAATATCAAAATGATGAAGAAATAATGTCTTTATTTTGGTGCAAATCACATTTTTCATATTTAAGGTCGTGGCATATTATCATACACTTTCCGTTTCCAGCCTGTAGCGTTTAGTTTCCGAAAAATATCATTTAAATGGTTTTAAATATGAACAACTCACACTGTCCGGAAGGTACCGTTACAGACACCTAACGTTACCGTTCAGTACATTCAAAATCAATATTTTACTGATGCCGACGGCTACGTAACGGGCCGTAACCGGTTGGTACGGATCATGTGAATTAGGAGTCCGTCGTTTTCCCCTCGCTGTTTATTTAGGAATTTATTTGATTTTGATACAGAGTATTTGAAAAAATAATTTTCTAGATTATTTTGTCATTTATGCATGTGTTTTCATTGCTTTGTGACATTCTTTGTGTAAAAATGGATTTAGAAAAATTAATTGAACTTGTACGCGGTGAAGAAATTTTCTATAATTACAATGATAATGCTATCATGATGCCAATAAAAAATAAAATATTTGGAGGGAAATCGCACGCAAATTAGGACAAAATGGTAAGTAGGTATCAAATTAAACCACAAATATATAATCTGTCTTAAATGTACTAATTACACGAAATACATAGGAATTATTGTTGCCAGTCAAGTTTTCCAGCAGCAGATTGAAAAAATATTTTAAAGTTGCCCCTTACTGTGAATGCTATTAATGAATTATTTCCACCCTGTCTAGGCAGATTAGTAAATTCCTTGTCATTTTTTTTGTCATTAGTTAATAAATGTTCTGAATGGGCCCCAATAAAATTATGTAATATGCACGTAGTTAGTATCAGCTTGTCTACAAATTCTGGTTTCAATTGGATTCTTCTATTATAAATTCGAAATCTTTGAGATAAGATTCCAAAGGCATTTTCTACCACCCTCTTAGCTCTTGATAATCGGTAATTAAAATGTTGTTTTTCTATGTCATCACATTGAGCTGCAGAATATGGCCTCATTAAGTAGGGCTTTAAGGGGAAACCTCATCACCTACAATAACATGTGGCATCTTCAATTTCATTTCTGGTAAAGGTTTATCCTCTAACTTAATTTCGTTTTCTAATTATGTTTTTAAATAGGAATTATGAAAAATGTCTCCGTCACTATTCTTGCCATAGTTGCCTATGTCTACAGCAATGAACTTATACCTACCTAGCATCCACCAATGCCATTAGGTTTATGGAAAAAGTTTTCTTATAATTAAAAAATAATGAACCACTATTTGCTGGAGCAATTATTTGAACATGTTTCCCATCGATTGCCCCAATGCAATTAGGGAAATTTCACAATTCCCAAAAGTCTTGAGTTATTTCTTGCCACTCGTGAGGAGTAGGGACAGGAATACATTCTGATTTCATAGTAGAAATAATTGCATTTGTAACATCCATAATGATTGATTTGACCGTGGACTGTTCGAGTCGAAAACTATATGAAATTGTTTTGAATGAATCCCCAGTAGCTAGGAACCTAAAATAAAATTTAATTTTCAATGTTTTTTTTTTCAGCTAAGGATTGTAAAAAGCAATGGAATTCCCTTAGAGATGCGTTTAGGCGACAGCAAAAAAAAGCGAAAAACAAAGAGTGGCCAGGCCGCAATTATAACAAAAAAATGGAAGTTTGAAGAAGAAATGAACTTCCTTCTTCCTTTCCTCCAAGATAGGTCTACCATTTCTACAATCGAAATTCCCGAACAAGAAGAGTCGCAAGTTGAAGCTGAGGCTGACTCAGAGATAGTAGAGACTGAAAAAAAATCTTTAAATGTTGAGGTGTCCTACGAAAAACAAGCCCCAAAAAGAAGTGTATTTGAAACTCGGCAATTGCCAAAGAAAAAAAAATGATAAAAGTATTGCTGCATCTGTGGTTATGGATTATCTCCTAAAATCCGAAGAAAAAGACGAAGTTGAAGCGCTTTTTTATGGTTTGGCCCAAACTGTAAGAAAGATGCCACCATATTACAGAGCACTGGCAAAAGCAAGAGTTTCTTCAATTGTCGGGGAGATAGAACTACAATCTATTACTCATCCTAATCCACCTGCGATAAGAAATCCATACATCTATCCGGGTAACTATCCTGCCTATAGTGACCAGCTTAACAAAAATAATTCAGCCCCGATTACGCCAATGCATTCACCTCAGACATCGGAATGTTCAACATCAACAAAGACATCTGCAGCATCCAATATCAGAAATTCTAATGAATATGTTTCAGAGAATTTGGTTTTTGATAACGAAAGCATGCGGTGGCGGATCCAGGAAAGGGCGATGGAGGCAATCGACCCCCCCTCTCAAAACGACTGATGTTTTTTTAATTACAGAGGGTGACCCAAAAGCAGCGGAACGGTCCAATATTACGCGAAATGAACATTTGATCGAAAAACTGAAAAAGACGTTTTCAATCATTTTCAAAAATCTATCGAATGACACCAAACCCCACTCCAGACGCTGGAGGTGGGCTCTTAATTCTTAAGTATCAACCCCCGTTTTTTATTGCAGTTTTGGATTCCTTGTGAAAGATTAAATATCATTTATTCGAAATATTTTTTAGAATTGTTGATAGATGGCGCTGATGAATTGTATTTTTTCGATTATAGCGCCATTTATAAACAATTCTAAAAAATGTTTCGAATAAATGTTACTTATATTTCATGAGAAATCCAAATCTGCAATAACGAATGGGGGTTTCTCTTTAAGATTTTAAAGGTAGTCCCCACCTCACTTCTAGGGGTGTAGTGTGGAGTCGTTTTTGGTCTCATTCGATAGATTTTTGAAAATGATTGAATAACGTATTTTTCAGTTTTTCGATCCGATGTTCATTTCGCGAAATATTCGACCGATCCGCTACTTTTGGGACACCCTGTATATAAAAATTTATGTTGCTAATATTAATTTTTTTAAGTAGGATTCGTTTGTTCATACTTTATTTTTAAGAAATAAATGAGTTAATTTTGTTTATAGAAAGTTGTGCTTTAACTTATCTTAAACACACAGCTAATTTTTCTTTAGGTGTTATGGCTTCTTTAAATGTAGTATTTTGTTTTTTAACTAAAGCTGTAATTAAATTTAAAATATATTCAAACTAAACCCTATTCATTCTAAAATATCTATAATATTTTTTATCGTCATGAATTAATTCTTTGTATAAAGTCCAGTATTCACCTTCCCTTTTCCTTTCTCTTAACATTGGATGCACTCCCAACCTTCTTTTTACTACAGTTTTTCTTTCTTCATCGTCAAGTAGAAGCGCAATTGCACATAATTTTTGACGCGAAAAGCGATAACACATCTTTACCGCATCAAACTGAAACGTTGTATGTATGAAAATGTGAACGCGCAGTCCAAACCGCATCAAACTGAAACGTTCTATGTATGAAAATGTGAACGAGCAGTCCGTTTGCTCGACCCGAAACGCTATGTACCGGAAACGCAAAGTGTATGATAATATGCCACGACCTTTAGTCTTAACCATAGACTTATAACACAAGATCATGCTCGGGTATCTCTTATGGGAGTGAGTCCTCTGAAATTTGTATTTCCTAAGGACCCCAGAGGGCGTAGCATTCGTAGCAAAGCTTTGTGACTGCGCAAGACCGCAACCAACAAAACAAGTACGCCATTTTTATTGTGGTTTCGACACAGTGTTTCCAGCTGTGGAACCCTGTGTCATGTTGCTTGCAACATGTAGAAACGGATATTTCATTGCGACTTTCATTACTACATCTTATTATTTTGGTACTCTGTGTCAGTGTCGCTTTTGCTTCGGATATTTTCGAGATCTTATTGTTCACTCCAAAAACATTCATTGTTATTTGTGTTTCTAATATTGGCAATAGTTAAGGTAGATATACAGATTCAAGATTCTCTCTGTAAAAGTGTATTGTTATTGGCTACACGTTTTTAATTAAAAAATTATATCCAATGGCAATGCAAAATTTTTAATTTTAGACTTTATAATTTTAGTGACATTTTTGTCTTGGTATTACTAAGTATTTTGCAATTTAATTTATTTTAAAAGTAATTTATTTAGTAGGTAAGGTGTACTGAGTGATAATGTTGCCTGTGAACAGTATGAACGTATTAGCTTTTGAGGATGAGGAGAGGTTAAGAGTATTAAGAAACTTTAACATTAATAGGCGTTTACTTAGATATTAAAGTGATCCTTTCAATGAACTAACAGATTTTCAGTTTAAAGGATTGTATCGTTTAACCAAAGATATAGCAAGAGATATATTAAATGGAATCATGCAAAATATGGTCATCGATAATAATGTTGTGGCAGTTCCAGTTGCAATAA